AAGATGGAAGAAGAGGAAATTTTTGACGAAGATGTAGAGAAAGCATTAGAGGTTCGTGGCAAATTTTTATTTCTCTTTTTGGCGCTAGAGATTTACAAAAAACACTTTCAAGCTGACCAAACAGTTTTCAGAAATGGGACTGTTTACAGTACTATGTCACACATACAAAGATTGAAAAATTTCACCATATACACAGATAAACCATTCTGTGATCAGCTTGGTAAATAGAGTAATGAAGAATCTGGGTTCGTTTAATAAAAGCGGCTAGATTTATATCGACTGCGTCCAGGCAAATTCAACTAGTAGGGCTGTATTTTAATGTGTTGGGACCAATTTTTCGTTACCATTGATCCAAGGACGTAATATGTCTTGCATTTGAGATCTTCTCTGATTTTACGCTCTGCAAAAATCCGATGCCCTAAGTAGTTCAATGTTATGATGCCTTTGCAACGAGAGATCTGGGACCTTAAAATTCTTTTTCAGGGAAACTTCGAGGGAGAAATAGAAGGCGGATTAGAGGACGACTTTGTAGCCCTTGCTGGCGGCTTGGCCGAGCCTGTGCCAAAGTCACATACACAACCTCGGGAGCCGGTTGTTCACTTCGAAAGCGATGAGGTAACGATAGCGATGGTACCTTGTTGTCAAAATTTCTCCAGTCCACTCGCTGTCCATTCCTTATTTGATTTGTTTTCTTTACTTTTTTCAAACCATTCCCTGCTAATTCCACATAGTTCTTGCTCGTTTTCATTTTTTCGCCTCGTGTATCTTCATATTGTCATATCTACACTTTTTCTGGTTGTTCTACGTTGATAGCATGCTGCTTGTATTTATAGGATGACGAAGAGTCAGACTCTGATGAAGAGAATTATGATGACGAAGACGTGCAGGAAACGGCACAAACAAAAGAGGTTGGCATTCTAGTTGCTTGGGCTTTGTGAGATGTTCTATTAATTTGGTACATTTCCTATCGACTACTTATACATATGCGCATGGTGTTTCTAGATGCAGCGCGAAGGACCACGTCGAGAAATTGACGATCGGTTTGATCAGCTGCTAGAAGCTGACTATCACGATGATCAATTAGGGGAACTAGATGGCGATGATTATCAAGTCGGCGGCACACTAGAGCCAGACGATGAACGAGTGAAACGTATGATAAAAGAGAGCCACAAGGGTCCCGTTGATGATGAAGAGGTATGTGCTTGGCTAAGAAGTCCAAAAAGACAGGAGAGGATGCAATAATAGCAGACTTTATTAACCGAAAATCTCCAGTTTACTGCTACTGCTGAAAGCCTACTCTTTCAATCGATTGAAAGAGAATCAAGGAGAGGTAGAAATGAATCACATACT